AATTTCCCATACCTTCCTCCTTTAAGAAGGATCTGAGAGCTGTAATAATATATGTGAAAACGCATGTACTTTCCCCTAGAAAGCTCATTGGAATTGCACTGAAGCATGTTGCTAGATCTTCTACCTCATCACAGCTGAGGCATGTGGCTGAATTGTCTGGACAAGAATGCAGGGTTGCTGCATGACAGGGTAGCCCAAGGGAGAATGCTGGGACAGAATGGCATTCATCAGCAGAAGGGGTTAGGTTCCACAATGACCTAAAGGACATGGGGAAATTGAATGGGATCAAGCAACTGAGAGAAAGGCCAGAGAGGGTAAAAGTCAAGTGCTGTAAGATAAATGGTTGTAGACCCAAAGGGCCCAGTGCTCTCCAGCAATAAATATGCTTGGAGAAAGAAGGCAGGCAGATGGACGGGACAAGTGAACACGGTAACCAAGGGTAAGAAAGACACTGAGTGAAACAACTGTTCCCAAGAAAGCACTACAAGAAACCAGGGGAAATTTATGAAGTGTGAAAGAAGCAATGCAGAGGAGGGAATCCTCTTCCTCCTATTAACCTACCATAAGCTTCAGAGAACAAAAAACTGAATGGATTTTTGGGAGTCAGAAATTAGTGCAGACTAAAGAAGACTGTTGAAAGGTGAGACAGGTGATTGATTAACACCAGATGGAACCTTGTTAGGAAATTAAATGTCCTACCTGACTCAAAATTCATGAGGGAAAGAGTTCAGATGCCAGGGTACTAGTAAATTTCCCTGGAGAAAAGGTGACCTTAGAAGGAAGTCAGTCTGACCTTGAACAGGTGTCAGAAATTGCCACATATGCGCAGTGGACAGCATACAGGTGTTGCAAGTCTAGCTACACCTGAGTTCCAGTCTCACCTCTCCTATCTACTTTTTTACTTATTTATTACATAACCTTGGACAAAGCACTTAACCTTTCCGAACCTCAATTTCCTCACCTACAAAGTCTGAATTAGAAGACTACACTCACAGGGCTGATACAAGGATTAAACAGACTGTACCTATAAAGCTTCTACTTATACCTGACACATAATGGGTGCTCCATAAATGGTAGCTATTATTATTGTTTTAATCCTGAATGAAACTCACAACCAGAGATGACCTGAGAGGGATGAATTCTCAGAAATCCCTTCAGTTGCAAAGAGTTAACATCAAGAAAGTTGTAAAACCGTGGACACTATATATTCTGGTATCAAATACCTAAATATCAAGAATGACAGCTGAGCTCTAACTATGTTGCTTTTCTTTAATAGACTTTCCCTTCTCTCTACAAAATGAGGTGCATTCTCTACCAGGAATTTGTGGATGGGGTTGTGAGAACCACTGCCATCATACAGGCACTGAGATTTTAATTATTTTAATGTAATTCTTTTTATCAACGAAGAAAGTTTTAAGAAGTCTACCAATTTTACCTGATGAGGTCCTGAACTCGACTGTTAAAAGCATCACCTTGTGCGGGCTTGTTTTTCATTTCCTGTGTTGATATTTTTGGTGTAGCTGGCCGGCTGGTTCCATCTGGTCGATTGGCAATCAGGCAGCCAAAAACCACAGCACTGACTTTCAGAAGTCCCGTGGTCAAGCCTTCAAATACTTGCTTATTTGTATTTCTTCCCAAAATAGCATTATTTTCATCTGGAACATAAACCTAGATAATAAAAAAAAAAATACAGTAAATGTATTTTAATAAAACTACCAAAAATGGACAGAGATGCCTTGGAAAATTCCTGCAATAATAAATACTTTTGAAATTCTATAGGTGGCAATCTGAAATGTTCGAGAGTGTGGGCTCTGAAGGCAGACTGCTGAGTTTAAATCTCAGCTTTCCCTTCATAAGCTGAGGGACCTTGGGCACCAGGTTATTACTCCATATATTTCAATTTTCTCATCTATAAAACAGGGATAATGATAGTACCTATATCATAAGGTTCTTTTGAGGATTAAACGAGATAATGCTCATAAAATGTTTAGCATATGCCTAGACACATAATAAGTGCTCAGTAAATATTTATTCAATTGAAAAAATTTATTCAATATTCAAATGAACATTAAATAATTTATATGAACTCAAAACAAACCAATTGGTAAACGGACATCACTGTTTCTCGTTACAGTGAATTTTTAAAATAGCTTATCTAAATTCCTCTATTAGGATGAAATGTGCATTTATCGCAACATGGCAAAACAGTTCTTTTCCTAGTACACAGGATCACGTTCAGCTCTTTTTGTGTATGCTTTATAGGAAATAATATGGTTATTAAAAGTTAGGACCGGGAGTCAGAATCGGGGTTTGGGTTCTGGCTCTGCAGCTAGACGACCTGAGACAAGTACCTTAACCTCTCTATACCACAGTTTCTGCATCTGTGAAATGTTGCTAATTGTAATATCTACTGTATTTTTACATAAGTAGTGCAAGTCTTCTATGTTTCTTGCCAGCTGCTCCTTCCCCCATTAGGTATTTTTGGAAGCTCCGCTTTACTAATTCTTTTTTACGTGTTGCTGTAAAAAAAATTAGCATAGTACGCTTATGAAAATAACTTGTTGGGGGAGGGAGACGTTGGCAAACAAACGTAGAAGGTGAGCATTATTTGCATAAAAATACGGTATCTCATAGGATTGTAGGAAGTTTAAAATAAATCAAAATATATAAAACGCTTAGAACAGTGTCTGGAACATAGGTTCAACCCCATATTGCTACAATAACTGCTCTTACTACAGCTACTACTACAGGTAGTCCCCGACTTATGACAGGGCTCCTTTCTGAGGAATCCATTGTAAGTTGGTTCTGACATAAGTCTAATACTTCTTCTTTTTTTTTTTTTTTCAGTTTTCATTATTAGTATCTTTATAAATCATAACATTGAATATCTGTGAGTGAACATCTTGGGAATGATAACATCAGTAAATTATGCACTGCAAAACTGTTTATGTAGTTCATATCACTAGTGACAAGATGTACAAAAAAACCAGACGGTTGTAAGTGCAATTCATTGTAACTCGAATACGTGGTAAGTGGCAGACTACCTGTACTACCAAGAGTAAATGTTGCTGGGTATGAACACTGGTTCTTACACCAACACCAAAGGATGATTAGAAGTACAATGACTAGATATGGAATTACGGGGCTGGGAGCTCTGGTTTTGCCTTGTGATGCTGGCCACATAAAGGGTCATTCTTCCCAGAGACAGAAGGAGCTGCCTCCTGAAGGCCTTACTACCAAGAAAGGGGCAGAGACAGTAAGCTAACGGTGGGATGCAAAGAGGTTTGGACTTGTAATCAGACAGCACTATATTCAAGTTTCAGTTCTTTCTCTAGAAGATGGTACAACTTTAAGTAACTATTTCATATTTCTGAGCTCTGATTTATCTGTCTACCTCCTAGTACTACTACAAGAAGTTCAAATAAGAAAATAAATGGGAAAATACTTGGTACACTATTGCATTCCATAAATGTCCTTAGTGAGAATGAGCCTTTGCCTCAATCTCACTCTTTACCTGCACCAGTTGTACCAAAAGCTAGAGAAATAAATGGTCACTTGGATACAAAAAGAGGATATTTATAAACACATACAAACAGTTCCCTCATGGATGTCATTTTTCTGAGAATAACCTTGCTTACGACTGTTGTCGATAAGTTGTCTCTGACCATTGCAGATGCAGCCATTCCTACATTAATGTAACTACACCTACTCCTCACTTATTGACTATCTTGTTATCTGACATTTTGCACTTACGACAAAAGCAAAAAAATCTACTATCCAACTATTTTGTGCATTAACAACATATGTCTGGCAGTAACGAACGCCGAAGTGCAGGGTGAGACTAACACTGGCTGTGATGGTTAAGGTTATATGTCAACTTAGCTGGGCCTTGATTCTCAGTAGTTTGGCAGTTATGTAATGATGTAATCTAACAGTTATGTAATGATGAAGTCACCCTCCGTTTTGTGATCTGATGTGGTCATCCTCCATTTTCACATAACAACCTGGTATTTGGAACCTAACCATGTCAGTAAGTGAGGAGTGGGTATATAGTAGAATCCTTCTGCAGTGTGTGCTCCAATTAATTGAAAAAAGTTTCCTCTGAAACTCTACAAGAGTTATCAAACAGACACACAAGCTTCTTCAGATTGTGACTAGCATAGCCCAGCCTATGCCAATATAGAAGTGATATCAGGAGTGGGGTCTGAACCCAGAGTTTCTATATGTCAGGGTGAGCTAGATTATGTTACAGTGATACACTCCTCAAAAATTTCAGTGACTTCTAACAATAAAGCTTTATTTCTCATTTAAATGACATTCCTATCACAGGCTGGCTGGGGGCGCTCCTCTGCATCATTGTTGTCCCTACTCTGAAACCCAGGTGTCAAAGCATCGCCATCTAGAACAGCACTGCCCAACAGAACTTTCCGTAATGAGTGAAATGTATCAATCTGCACCATCCTATATCTGCTCTAGTCACATGTGGCAACTGAGCACTTGAAATGTGGTTAGTAAAAATCAAACACTTATGCTCATCAAAAGACTTCACCGAAAGAGTAAAACGATAACCTACAGACTGGGAAAAAAATTTTGGCTACCACAAATCCGATCAATGTCTAATCTCTAAAATCTTTAAGATACTGCAAAACTTCAGCAACAAAAAGACAAATAACCCAATTAAAAAACGGGCAAAGGATATGAACAGGCACTTCACCAAAGAAGACATTCAGGCAGCTAACAGACACATGAGGAAATGCTCACGATCATTAGCTATTAGAGAAATGCAAATGAAAACTACAACAAGATACTATCTCACCCCAACAAGGCCAATCCAAAAAACACAAAATAATAAATGTTGGAGAGGTTGTAGAGAGACTGGAATACTTACACACTGTTGGTGGGAATGTAAAATGGTACAACCACTTTGGAAATCGATTTGGCACGTCCTTAAAAAGCTAAAAATACAAGTACCATAAGATCCAGCAATCCTACTCCTTGGAATATATCCTAGAGAAATAAAAGCCATCACACGAATACATATATGCACACCCATGTTCACTGCAGCACTGTTCACGATAGCAAAAAGATGGAAACAACCTAGGTGTCCATCAATGGACGAATGGATAAACAAATTATGGTATATTTACAAAACAGAATACTATGCAACGATACATAACAATGATGAATCCATAAAACATAACATGGAGGAATCTCGAAGGCATTATGCTGAGTGAATTTAGTCAGTCACAAAAGGACAAATGTTGTATGAGACCACTGTTATAAAAACTCAAGAAAAGGTTTAAACACAGAAGAAAACATTCTTTGATGGTTACAAGGGTGGAGAGGGAGGGAGGGGTGTATTCACTAACTAGATAGGTGACAAGAATTATCTTAGGTGAAGGGAAGGACAACATACAATACAGGGGAAGTCAGCACCACTAGACTAAACCAAAGCTAAGAAGTTTCCTGAATACAA